ACTGTTACATTTCTAGCGGCTTCAGTTTTATCCTGTGCCTGACAATAACTTATTCTCTTAAATGCAATGAAACGACAGATTTAGGCCAGTTAAAGCATAAGAATGGATATGTATTAAACTGAAGCAGGTTTCTTTTTTTAGTCAGATGGCGGACAATCTGGGAAAGCTAGGCACTGTGAGGTTACTTCTGGCATTTTGCTTTCAGCAAGCAGCAGAGCAGCCAGCTAGTACTGTTAGCAGTGTTAGTCGTGTTCTGTTCTTGATCTAGATACCCAGAGCAGTATAAAACAGAAGACAGAGAGAGGTAACTTATCAAATATCGCATAATAATATTTATTTGCTATGTCTAGTAACATAACCATTTTAACTTTGTTATGTATCATGAATTTACTTGCCATACACTCCCAGTTTTCGATTACTGTAGCCAAAGTCCGGCCCGTGGAGAATGAAGGAACCTTCTGTTCATATTTCACAGGATGGTCCAGCAAGATAAGCTTTGTAGGATTTTTAATTGGGTTCAGGAGAGTTTGATGGTAGGGTCTCAGCCAAAAATGACAGGCTTCTATATACAGATAGATACATAAATCCCTTCCAAACTACACATCAATTAACATTTTCCGTAGTGGCAGAATCCAGTACTTCATATTATCTAAGTATTATAGGGAATGCAGGCTGATAAGAAGGAAAGCAAGTTAAAATACTGTGGCTAGGGCACCTTAGTGTAGAGGACCAATAGTATCTGCATGACCTCCTACAGGTGCAGTATTGGTTGGCTGAGACAACATATTAGCTTAGAGGTTAGATATTTAAAGAGTGACACCACCCTGTTTCTGTTTCTCACTTGTACTCCTGCAGTGTCACCCTGATTCATGTGCTTCCATGAAGAGGCTCCAAGTGACTGAAACACCACATATTACACAGATATGGGGGTAGATTTACTAAAACTGGAGCATGAAAAATCTGGTACAGCTGTGCATGGAAGCCAATCAACTTCTAACTTCAGTTTGATCAATTAAGCAAAGAACCTGGAAAATTGATTGGTTTCTATGCAGATCTGCGTCAGATTTTGCACTCTCCAGTTTAGTAAATCAACCCCATGGTCTACTAATGTCACCATCAGGAAAACCATCCTGAGAAATGTCAAGGTGCCATCATTGGAATGCATACATATAGATAGTAAGTTCCTTCAAAGAGCGTTCAACAAGTTACAAAAAAATGGAGCAAACAAGTATATTATTTTCAAGAAATAGAAATTGTTTATGATACACAGAGCTTTAGGAAATGAAACATGATGCAGTTAGGGTCTATATTTACTCTAGTGATGTCCTTTAATAATTCCCACCGCCACTATGACAGCTGATTCACACATGTGCGATGTGGATTGAAGCTCAGGTCATGCTGAACGATGTTACAGGCAGCATAACATTCTCCACAGCTTCTCCAGACCCTTTCATGTCTGTCACATGTGCTCAGGATGAACCTGCTCTCATCTATGAAAAGCACAGGGCTCCAGAGGCGGACCTGCCAACTCTGGTGTTCAATGGCAAATGACAATCGAGCTCTATGGTGCCGGACAGTGAGCACAGGGTCCACTAGAAGACGTTGGGCCCTCAGGCCACCCTCATGAAGTTTGTTTCTGATTGTTTGGTCAGAGATATTCACACCAGTGGCCTGCTGGAGGTCATTTTGTAGGGCTCTGGCAGTGCTTATCCTGATCCTCCTTGCACAAAGGAGAAGATACTGGTCCTGCTGATGAGTTAAGAACCTTCTATGGCACTGTCCAGCTCTCCTAGAGTAGCTGACTGTCTCCTGGAATCTCCTCCATGCTTCTGCCATTGGCATGTATTGATGGGGGGGGGGGGGGGTCATCTCATTGTTGCCCATCTAGTGCACCTGTTGTTAATTTCATTAACACCAAAGCAGCTGAAACTGATTAACAATCTCCTCTGCAACTTAACTGACCAGATCAATATCCCAGGAGTTTAATTGACTTGATGGTATACTCGGATTAAAAAGTGTTCCTTTCATTTTTTTGAACAGTGTATATGTTGCACCACTCCTGTAGGAACCACAGGACTACTCCCCACAATCTTTGCCCCACAGATAGGCACATAGGCTCATTCACAAGATTCTTCAATGACCATACTAGGGGTGTTGTTTTTGTTGTTTTTATTTTTGGAGAACTTGGATAGGATTGAGGAAATTAGATGGGATACTCCAATAACAGGATCTATGTACAACTTCTTGAGGTATTCTTCAGAACAAACTATATTAAAGTTTGTAATTGTAGCAAACACTTCATAGAGCCATAAGAGCAGAGTCCCTTTAAACCAGCAGGTGTCCCCATTAACTAGACCCACAACTGACTCTTTAGCATCATTGGGGTGACAAAAGCACAAAGACCTCAAGATCTCTTAGAAGCTTCTGTGCTCACACAAAGCCCAAGAACAGCTGGTTCCCGCCTTACAACTTCTAAGCGACACCTTACTCTGGTGATACCAGACCAGATCTTCAGCAGACAGCCCACCTCCGTCAGCTCTCTTTAGTATCAGGGTCTCAGCATCCAGGCCCTCAGGAGTGTATATACACTACACACTCACCGGCCACTATGGTGTCCGTTTATGAACCAGCAGTAATAGATCGTTGCTCAGTTCTCCGGCATTCTCGGACAACACAGTTCTCCTGTGAATGCCGTTTATGAAGCCATTCTCCGAACGAAGGGAGAACGGTCTACAAACGCTGGAAAACGGCTGATTTTAGTATAATCTCGCGAGATTACAGTAAAAGATCAGTTTACTAAGCAGAGGTAAATTATCTCTGCTTAGTTTTCGGTCCCTCCAATTCTCCAGCTCTGGGCTGGAGAATCTGGAGGGAGAACACAGATCTCCAGAGAAGGGCTGAACATATTCTCCTGGGTGTCATAAACTGTGAATGACCAGAGAATAGCTGTGATCCTCTGAATCTCAGCTATTCTGTGTGTCATAAACGGACACCTTTATTAGGTACACCTGTTCAACTGCTTAGTAACATAATGTCAGGGCTCCCAGGTGTGACCAGAGGTGTGTGACTGACGCAGGGAAACGCAGACTTCAGATATGTGATAAACAATATAATTTATTAACACTAACAATACAAACATAAACGCAGTGCAATACTAAACATAATACAGTGCAAACAAACCAAACCAACCACCCACAGATAACAGTACATACAAGCAAGCGTCGTCAGGCAGGCCGGGTCAATATCAATTGGGCAGGTAGGTACAGGGGGAGCAAGCGGAGATTGGTCGGGGTCACAGGCCAGGTTCAGCAGGTAGCTAGCAGCGTAGTACAGAGGGTCAGGCAGAGGGATGGTCAGGGTCACAAGCCAGGGATCAGAACAGGTAGCAGGCAGTGTAGTACAGAGGGTCAGGCAGAGGGATGGTCAGACAAGCCAGGGATCAGAACAGGTAGCAGAGAATCAGACAGGAACAGAGAGCAGGAACAGGATACAGGGCCCAAGAGAAACACAACACCAAGGCAGAGTCTGCAAGTCTGGCCATCCCTTAAATACCCCAGCATAATCAGTTCCAGGTGTTAGCTGGCTGCAAAGTTGAGTCTCTGATTGCTGGGAGCATCCGCTGGCCAGCCCTGGTACTGCAGATCAAAAGGCAGGTGAGTCCCACCATTGCTGGCTAGTCCATTCCTGACAGTACCCCCCCCTCAAGGAGCGGCCTCAGGACGCTCCAAACAGTCCTAGCTGGGCAAAATGTTCCACCGCCCGGGTCTGGTAACTGGCGGGATATCAAAGACTGGCACACACGGGCAGGACTCCGGGCAGCGGCACACCGGGCAGGACTCCGGGCAGCGGCACACCGGGCAGGGGCACACCGGGCAGAGGCACATCGGGCAGAGGCACACCAGGCAGGACTCCGGGCAGAGGCACATCGGGCAGGACTCCGGGCAGAGGCACATCGGGCAGGACTCCAGGCAGAGGCACATCGGGCAGAGGCACATCGGGCTGGACTCCGGGCAGAGGCACATCGGGCTGGACTCCGGGCAGAGGCACATCGGGCTGGACTCCGGGCAGAGGGCACATCGGGCCGGACTCTCGGGCAGAGGCACATCGGGCCGGACTCCGGGCAGAGGCACATCGGGCCGGACTCCGGGCAGAGGCACATCGGGCCGGACTCCGGGCAGAGGCACATCGGGCCGGACTCCGGGCAGAGGCACATCGGGCCGGACTCCGGGCAGAGGCACATCGGGCGGGGGCAGAGGCCATCGGACTCCGGGCAGAGGCACATCGGGGAGCAGCAGGACTCCGGGCAGAGGCACATCGGGCAGGACTCCGGGCAGAGGCACATCGGGCAGGACTCCGGGCAGAGGCACATCGGGCTGGACTCCGGGCAGAGGCACATCGGGCTGGACTCCGGGCAGAGGCACATCGGGCAGGACTCCGGGCAGAGGCACATCGGGCAGGACTCCGGGCAGCGGCACATCGGGCTGGACTACCGGGAAGCACATCAGGCAGCGGGCCACCAGGCGAGGCAGGCACCGGGCCCCCGGGCGGGGCACAGGGCAGGGCACTGGGCCCCGGGCGGGGGCAGCAGGGCACCGGGCCGGACCCCCGGGCGGGGCAGCAGGCACCGGGCCCCAGGCGGGGGGCAGGGCAGGCACCGGGCCCCCGGGCAGAGCAGCAGGCAGCGGGCCCCCGGGCGGAGCAGCAGGCAGCGGGCCCCCGGGCGGAGCAGCAGGCACCGGGCCTCCGGGCGGAGCAGCAGGCAGCGGGCCCCCGGGCGGAGCAGCAGGCACCGGGCCCCAGGCGGGGCGAGCAGGCATCGGGCCCCCAGGGGGGCGACAGGCATCGGGCCCCCAGGAGGGGCGACAGGCATCGGGCCCCCAGGAGGGGCAGCAGGCACGGGCCTCCGGGCGGAGCAGCAGGCACCGGGCCCCAGGCGGAGCAGCAGGCACAGGCCCCCAGGGCCAGGATCAGGCATCGGGCCCCCAGGGCCGGGCCCCCAGGCGGGGCGACAGGTCTCGGGCCCCAGGCGGAGCGACAGGCGCGGGCCCCCAGATGGAGCGACAGGTCTCGGGCCCCCAGGACCCCCAGCAGGTCTCGAGTGACAGGTCTCGGGCCCTCAGGCGGAGCGGCGGGCGCCGGACCCCCAGATGGAGTGACAGGTCTCGGGCCCCCAGGCGGAGCGACAGGTCTCGGGCCCTCAGGCGGAGCGGCGGGCGCCGGACCCCCAAGTGGAGCGACAGGTCTCGGGCCCTCAGGCGGAGCGGCGGGCGCCGGACCCCCCCAAGTGGAGCGACAGGTCTTGGGCCCCCAGGCGGAGCGACAGGTCTCGGGCCCTCAGGCGGAGCGGCGGGCGCTGGACCCCCAGATGGAGCGACAGGTCTCGGGCCCTCAGGCGGAGCGACAGGTCTCGGGCCCTCAGGTGGAGCGGCGGGCGCGCCGGACCCCCAGGTGGAGCGACAGGTCTCGGGCCCCCAGACGAAGCGGCGGGCACCGAGTCACCAGGCACGACAGTGGGCACCGAGTCGTCTGGCACGACAGTGGGACCGAGTCGTCTGGCAAGACTGCGGGCACCGAGTCGTCTGGCAAGACTGCGGGCACCGAGTCGTCTGGCAAGACTGCGGGCACCGAGTCAACTGGCGGAACAGCGGGCATCGAGTCAACTGGCGGAACAGCGGGCATCGAGTCAACTGGCGGAACTGCGGGCACCGAGTCGTCTGGCAAGACTGCGGGCACCGAGTCGTCTGGCAAGACTGCGGGCACCGAGTCGTCTGGCAAGACTGCGGGCACCGAGTCGTCTGGCAAGACTGCGGGCATCGAGTCAACTGGCGGAACAGCGGGCACCAAGTCGTCTGGCAAGACTGCGGGCACCGAGTCGTCTGGCAAGACTGCGGGCACCGAGTTGTCTGGCAAGACTGCGGGCACCGAGTCGTCTGGCAAGACTGCGGGCACCGAGTCAGCTGGCGGAACAGCGGGCATCGAGTCAACTGGGAACAGCGGGCAGAGTCAACTGGCGGGACTGCGGGCACCGAGTCATCTGGCAAGACTGCGGGCACCGAGTCGTCTGGCAAGACTGCGGGCACCGAGTCGTCTGGCAAGACTGCGGGCACCGAGTCGTCTGGCAAGACTGCGGGCACCGAGTCGTCTGGCAAGACTGCGGGCACCGAGTCGTCTGGCAAGGCAGTGGGCACCGGGTCACCAGGTATGACAGCGGGCTCTGAGTCAATTGGCACGACAGCGGGCACTGGATCAGGTACCGGATCATCTGGATCAACAGCGGGCATCGAGTCAACTGGCCTAATAGGATCGTCGGGCTGGATCAGTTCATCATGCTGAGTAGCGGCATCAGGCTGAATGCAGGCATCAGGCCGAGTAGAGGCTTCAGGCTGAGTAGAGGCTTCAGGCTGAGTAGAGGCTTCAGGCTGAAGAGAGGCATCAGGCTGAAGAGAGGCATCAGGCTGAAGAGAGGCATCAGGCTGAAGAGAGGCATCAGGCTGAAGAGAAGCATCAGGCTGAAGAGAGGCATCAGGCTGAAGAGAAGCATCCGGCTGAAGAGAGGCATCCGGCTGAGTAGAGGCTTCAGGCTGAGTAGAGGCTTCAGGCTGAGTAGAGGCTTCAGGCTGAGTAGAGGCTTCAGGCTGAGTCACGGAAGGCAGGTTCACCGGTTTGGATACTGGCAGGATGGTATTGGTTGGAAAGAATTTTCGCTTTTTTCTGGTTTTAACTACTGGAGCACTGCAAGTAAACGCAGGTCTGCAAACGAATGGAGCAGCTGGAGACAGAGAAAAACTGGAGGATGGAACAGGAGAGGGAGCAGTTGCTACAGAGGGCTTTTTTTTACAGGGTTAAAGGCAGGATAGGTGCAGCGAGCGAGTGGGAACAGGGTACTGACATGCGGTAGATAGCCAAGTATACTGGGCTGTAACTGGAGGAGCTGGTGGGAATACAGGAGTAGAGTTAGAAGCAGGACTGGGTTTTTGTAAGCTGACTGAGGCTGGGTGCAACAAGTCTGTCCATGTCTGCAGTATGGGTTGAACAAAGCTGAGCTTACACAAAGCCTGTCTGGTCAATGACTGCACTGCGTTTATACAATCTCTTAGTGTCTGTGGTGAACATGTGGAATAACGCTCCAGAAAGTAACCCACATCATCCTCTAATAACCACACCAGGGACTCTACCTGGTCTGCACTAAATGGTGGCAAAAAATCATCCCTGCATTCGGGGGTACCAGATGAAACCAACTCAGCACAAACCTCAATCAATGGCTGCACCTCAGAGAACTCTGTGCCCTGATCTACTAGAACATGAGCGAGCCGTATACATTCTAGTAGTTGATCCCTGGGATACTCCTTCAGAGTTTGATAAGCATACTCCCTGTCATCAAACACTAGCAGATATAAATACACACACAACCTCATCCAGATCCATCCTTCCAGCCCAGCAACAAGCCAAGATGGCTTCCCTGTGCAGCCACTTCTGGTCAGGATTGGCCTTGGTGTAATGTCAGGGCTCCCAGGTGTGACCAGAGGTGTGTGACTGACGCAGGGAAACGCAGACTTCAGATATGTGATAAACAATATAATTTATTAACACTAACAATACAAACATAAACGCAGTGCAATACTAAACATAATACAGTGCAAACAAACCAAACCAACCACCCACAGATAACAGTACATACAAGCAAGCGTCGTCGTCAGGCAGGCCGGGTCAATATCAATTGGGCAGGTAGGTACAGGGGGAGCAAGCGGAGATTGGTCGGGGTCACAGGCCAGGTTCAGCAGGTAGCTAGCAGCGTAGTACAGAGGGTCAGGCAGAGGGATGGTCAGGGTCACAAGCCAGGGATCAGAACAGGTAGCAGGCAGCGTAGTAGTACAGAGGGTCAGGCAGAGGGATGGTCAGACAAGCCAGGGATCAGAACAGGTAGCAGAGAATCAGACAGGAACAGAGAGCAGGAACAGGATACAGGGCCCAAGAGAAACACAACACCAAGGCAGAGTCTGCAAGTCTGGCCATCCCTTAAATACCCCAGCATAATCAGTTCCAGGTGTTAGCTGGCTGCAAAGTTGAGTCTCTGATTGCTGGGAGCATCCGCTGGCCAGCCCTGGTACTGCAGATCAAAAGGCAGGTGAGTCCCACCATTGCTGGCTAGTCCATTCCTGACACATAAATTACTAATCAGCCAATCACATGGCAGCAACCAATGCATTTAGGCATCTAGACGTGGTAAAGATGACTTGCTGAAGTTCAAACAGAGCATCAGAATGGGGAAGAAAGGAGATTTACATAACTATGAACGAGGCATGGTTGTTGGTGCCAGACGGGCTGGTCTGAGTATTTCAAAAACTGCTGCTCTACTTGGATTTTCATGCAAAACCTTCTCTAGGGTTTACAGAGAATGGTCTGAAAAACAGAAAATATCCAGTGAGTGGCAGTTGTGTGGACAAAAATGCCTTGTTGATGTCAGAGGAGAATGGGCAGACTGGTTGCTGCGGCATTCAGGTGGTAGGGTCAGAATTTGGCATAAACAACATGAAAGCATGGATCCATCCTGCCTTGTATCAATGATTCAGGCTGGCGGTGGTGGTGGTGTAATGGTGTGGGGGATATTTTCTTTGCACTAGCAAGGTGTACCTAATAATGTGACCGGTAAGTGTATATATACACTATATTGCCAGAAGTATCATTGGATTCAGGTTTTCCAATCACCTCTATGGCCACAGGTATATAAAATCAAGCACCTAGGCATGCAGACTGCTTCTACAAACCTTTGTGAAAGAATGGGTTGCTCTTAGGATCTCGGTTAATTCAACCGTGGTACCGTGATAGGTTGCCACCTGTGCAATTAGTCGAGCCATGAAATTTCCTTGCTACTAAATATTCCACGGTCAACTGATAGTGGTATTATGACAAAGTGTAAGCAACTGGGAACAACAGCAACTCAGCCATGAAGTGGTAGGCCACGTAAAATGACAGAACGGGGTCAGTACATGCTGAAGCGCACAGTGCGCAGAAGTCTGCAGAGTCAATAGCTAAAGACCTTCAAACTTCATGTGGCCTTCAGATTAGCACAACAACAGTGCGTAGAGAGCTTCATGGAATGGGTTTCCATAGGAGAACAGCTGCTTCCATGCCTTACATCACCAGGTGCAATGCAAAGTGTTGGATGCAGTGGTATAAAGCACACTGCCACTAGACTCTAGAGCAGTGGAGACGTGTTCTCTGGAGTGACAAATCAAGCTTCTCTGTCTGGCAATCCGATGGACGTGTCTGGGTTTGGTGATGCCAGGAGAACGGTACTTGCCTGACTACATTATGCCAAATGTAAAGTTTGGTGGAGGGGGGATTATGGTGTGGATTTTTTTTTTCAGGGATTGGGCTTGGCCCTTAGTACCAGTATAGGGAACTCTTAAGACGTCGGCATACCAAGACATTTTGGACAATTTCATGCTTCCAACTTTCTGGGAACAGTTTGGGGATGGCCCCTTTCCATTCCAATATGACTGCGCACCAGTGCACAAAGCAAGGTCCAGGAAGACATGGATGAGTGAGTTTGGGGTAGAGGAACTTGACTGGCCTGCATAGAGTCCTGACCTCAACCCGATAGAACACATTTGGGATTAATTAAATCGGAGACTGCGAGCCGCCTTCTTGTCCCACATTAGTGCTTGGCCTCACAAATGCGCTTCTGGAAGAATGGTCAAAAAAACAAAAAACCTTGTGGACAGCCTTCCCAGAAGAGTTGAAGCTGTTATAGCTGCAAAGGGTGGGCCAACTCAATATTGAACCCTGCAGATTAAGATGGGATGCCATTAAAGTTCAAGTGCGTGCAAAGGCAGGCGTCCCAATACTTTTGGCAAGATAGTGTATATATATATATATATATATATATATATATATATATATTATATATATATTATTATTATTATTATATAGGATTTATATAGCACCAACAGTTTTCTCAGCGCTTTACAATATAACGGGAGACAATATAGCAACAATACAGTTCAATACAAGAGGGATAGGAGGGCCCTGCTGCTATATATATATATATATATATATATATATATATATATATGAAACAGAACTGGATGAAAATGTCCTTTGGTCAAATATTAACAAAGGAACAGAACATGGACCATGCTTCTTTGTTCATCTACTGCAGTCAGGTGATATATAATCCTCCTTTTATTGCAGCCAGCAATTCTACCTATATTATACAACATTTCTATGCAGCCTTTTTGTGGTTAAAAAATGCTGGTATTTTGTAAATAAAGAACAATAATAATAATAATAGCTGAGCGCTCTCATTTGCATGACTTTGTACAGAAATAAATAAACTGGGGACATCATGCAGAGAATATCTATATTTAGAGTTGGGCGTCACTGTTGATGAGAATGCACAGTACATTTTGAACAATAAAGACTTCATAAAATGGCTGTTGATTTTTAGCTCCGGGTGGGTGCCA